TTAGAAATGTATCACACAAAAGCAGGGGTGGGATTCAACCGGTGTTACTACTGGTTCGATGATTACGTTTTGTGCACGCATACGCACTTCGCGCATACCGGTTCTGTGTCTACTGCTCTTCAGAGCTACCGGTTCTACAGAGCCAGGCAGATCCGGTAGCATCCCAACCCTGCACAAAGTATGAAATGTAATTAATGACAGAAAATAACAAGCTTAAGTAGCCAATTTTTAGGATGGGGGTGGTCGGGGGGGGGGGGAAGGGATGGAGAGATTAAGTCTGTTCTGTAGGTCAATAGTTTCAAATGTTTTCAGCCCTATAACCTCTACACATCTGTACTTTGATCAGATTCACAGTACAGTATGTGATGTCCATATCTAGATAAGATGTTAAATGATTTGTTCCAGGATTAATTCACCATATCACAGGCTGATATTCCTAGCCTCCAAAGAGAGGGAGGGAGGAATAATTGCTACAAAATAAGACCACTCGTCACTGCTCCCATCCTTTTTTACTCCCCACAAATAAAACAGAGATATTCATTTTAAAATAACTGATTTTTTTTTAAAAAAATACCAAATATGCTTGGCAATTACACCAATGTAATGAAAAAACAGAAAATTGTTACTGTTTTATGGTACAGATGTCCAATCATATCTGGATGTCAGCTGGGAACCCTCATGAAGAAGTTTGCTCCTGTGAAATCTCACAGATGCCCAATGCCCTGTTGCTTTATTTTTCTTTTTAAACATTCTAGTACCTTTATCTCCACAAGATGCTGTCCAAATATTTTGGGACTACAGCTCCCAGAAAACTTAACTAAAGACTTCCTTACATCAGCTGGTCACATCCTTGCCAAAACATTAGGGGACTGGAGACTAAAACTTACAATGAATGGTTGCAGGAACCATTCTAGTCTAGTAAAGAGAAGGACCAGAGGAGACATGATAGCGGTCTTCCAATATTTAAGGGGCTGCCACAGAGAGGAAGGGGTCAAGCTATTTTCTAAAGCACCTCTAGGCCAGACAAGGAATAATGGATGGAAACTGAACTTAACCTGGAAATAAGGAGAAACTTTCTGACAGTGAGAACAATCAACCAATGGAACAGTTTGCCCTCGGAAGTTGTGGGAGTGCCATCACTTGAGACCTTCAAGAAGGGATTGTACTGCCATTTGTCAGAAATGGTGTAGGGTCTCCCGTTTGGGTGGGGGGTTGGACTAGATGACCTACAAAGTCCCTTCCAACTCTGATTATCTGTTATCTGTTACATCCACAACTCTCATGGATATATGCTTTGGATACATACTCTTGGAGAAATATCTGTAAGAGTTAACTTCAGAATTTCCAGCCCATTTGTAAGTTTTCTTTCCCTTCCCAGATTGGGGTTAATTTTGTCTATTCAACCAGAACACTAGAATACCTCCAACTCCAAAATGTATTATGAGATTGCAAAGCCACGTCATGCACACATGGACATGTTCAATAACACAGGATAGTCAAGACCCCAATGCTAAAAAAATAAGGAGCACTGATAATTAAGTGACAAGGAAGTACAAGATTACAAATGTGATTGGTTACAAATTAATAATAAAAAGAGAAAACTCAGCCTTTGACTAAGCCTGTCTCTATTTTGTACCTGCTAAATGGCAAACCAGAGCTTCAGCTAGCTCTAATTGCCTTGATCAACTGCCCTGATCAGCTTAATCACAAATACTGTACAATAGAGAAACTATTCTTATTCTGTGACTCACAAGAACCAAAGCATCATTTAAGATGTTGGATGGCTTTGCATAACTGCAGGAAAAGCAGCACTAGCACTAGCACTTGGACTTATATACCACTTCACAGTGCTTTACAGCCCTCTCTAAGCAGTTTACAGAGTCAGCATATTGCTTGCAACAATCTGGGTCCTCATTTACCCACCTCAGAAGGCTGGAAGGCTGAGTCAACCTGGAGAATCGAACTCCTGGAGCGAGCAGTGCATTAGCTTACGGTCCTGCATTCTAACCACTGTGCCACCATGGCTCTTGCAAGGCAGTCTCTCTGTGCTACTGTCCCATCATTGCACCAAAATTTAATCAAACTCCTAGAAAGCTTCTCTCCTTGGAAAAAACCTTGTTCAGAAAATCATTGGTACATTAATTAAAAGAGCTCAAATGGGTTGGTAATAATTACAGAAAAGAAAAAAGCATGTAACTCAATTTAAGGAATGATTGCTAAATAAAAGCAGGAAGCTAACTCAATGTTATCCCCAAGCAAGAAAAACTAATCTATGCAGCTTCGTGTCCCCTTCTCCCTCCATGATTTATAAAGCATCTGTCCTTTAAGAGCTTAGTCAGGTACCTATTTTATAAAAATGGAAAAACCAAGAGCAGATGGTAAGGGCTCTAGGGGGTTATATGTTTAGGGGAGGGGGGGGGTTAATCCTTGTACACTGTTCAGATTCACTTATGTGAATCAAAAAACAGGTAGATGAATGAATGGATGGATGGAGGGAGAGACAGAGACAGAGAGACAGAGGCAGGCAGGCAGATATTCAAGGCTAGGCACTAGAAAGTTAACTGATATGGCTGTTCCCTGCTCTTCCCATCAGTCCCCTTTCCTAATTTTTTTCTACATCAGTTTACTTTTTATTTTAGTCTGGTGGAAACTAAAGATTTCACTAGGCTTACAACCACCGTCCCCTTTTCATATTCTAAAACTTTGATCAGGCTTATCACCTTCCAGGATAAACAAGTTTCCTGTTTTCTCCAGCTATCCCTCTCTAGTTGCCTCAGAAAGAATAATAAAGTTCAGAGTCCCTTGATTGACTTTGGCAATAAGTGTTGAGAGTTTAACATCAGAAAATACAGAAATATATAGAATACATATTAACACAGAAACATACTGAGAGACATTTCCCCATGTTCAGAAATGCTGAATCTTATAATCATCTATTAAGCCCTGGGTAAAGAAACAATGTAGTGTGAAATCTAGTCTTAATCCACATGTTTACAGTTTACTCAAAAAACATTTTATTTACTTATTTATTTATTTATTAAATTTATATGCTGCCCATCTTGCAATTCAAGGCGACTCTGAGTCTCAGTGGCACAGTAGTTAGAGTGCTGTACTGCAGTCTACTTTTGCTGACTCTCAGCTGCCTGCAATTTGGCAGTTCAAATCCCACCAGGCTCAAGGTTGACTCAGCCTTCCATCCTTCCGAAGGTGGTAAAATGAGAACCCAGATTGTTGGGAGCAATATGCTGACTCAGTAAAATCACTTAGAGAGGGCTGTAAAATAATATATAAATCTAAGTGCTATTGCTAATCTGTGGCATAGTCATGCTGGACCAAGAATATTTGGAGGAAGGATGGATGGATGGATGGATAGATAGATAGATAGATAGATAGATAGATAGATAGATAGATAGAT